TGCACCTGATTCCACATTCTCAGCTGTTCTTTGTACTTGTGATCTGGGTTCAGTCTTCTCAACAACGTCACTCTTGGCATTTATCACCTTTTACTTCTGCAACCATCTCTCCCTCTTCTGCCTCACTTCCATTAGCATAAAGACTTGCCCTTGGTATTTTCCGTTTAATACCCCACATACTTCCTCTGACTTTATGTCTATCCACATTTTTACAGCAAACTTTGTGAAAAGGTTATCTCTGCTACCTTACCACCACCCCCAACCCCACGTCTTTTAAACCCACTCCAATCAGACTTTTTCTTCCAATATGCTAGTGAAATTGTTCACGTCAAGTCTTCAAAGTGGAGTGAATGGACATCTTTGGGAGAGAAGTACACGGAGTGGTGAAGGAAAGGGGGATGCCCACTCAGGCACCTTACATGAAACAAACTGGGTGACCAGTAGGGAGATAGATCCCAATGTCAATCACTTTCCCAAGCTAGGAGGAGAGCTCAGAACCAGAGAGAGAAATCTGAATTATCTGACACTCTGAGAGTAAACGTTATATCCAAGGGCAAGCATAGAGAGAGAAAAGAGGTCAAAGAGAACACTTCCGTCAAATAGAGACTGCTAGAAGGTCAGATATGTAAAATGAGCAAAGTTCAGTTATCACGGAAACCAAGGGAATACAAACAGAGAGGGAGCGGAAGAGACAGTAAGGACCTGGAGGTCACAAGAAGAAATGATGCCAAGGGCCTGGGGGAGGAGCTAAATCATCTTGTAAACCATCTCCCTGAATGAAGAGATGGAAGGTAAAGCAAATGTAAAATATTATCACAAACAAAAATAATTAATACAGATGAAACAGTACTTACCCAATGGCTACTAAATCTTCATGATGAGGTGAACAAGTAAGACAGAAAATTGTCCTGGGTTCAATAAAGAGGTGCTGACTGTCATTTCTGTTAAGCCAATAACAGAAAATGACCCCTTTTTCATCCCCAGATACTATCAAGTCCTTTACTCGAGGAGACCAATGCAATGCTGATATTGTATGCTATAAAACAAAACAAAAAATGTTTTGGTTTTTCATTTGCCAATGCTGGTGTAATGTCAGACACATTATAGGTACTTAATAAATTCTTGTTAGCATTAGTTGTATAGCAAGCCTCTAGTAAACAAATGATAGGAAAGTGTAGTCTATTGGAGACCAAAGAATCATGTTTAAAAAATCATTTGTTTCTTTAGTAGCTTACATGTAAAGCTCTTGATAAGAGGGTCTCTTCCCTTCCTCTTTGCTCAAAAGACAGACATGTCAGGTAATCATCTGGTTTACAAGCCAGTTTCATTCACTCAAAGTTTGTATCAGAGGTTCGCAAACCTTTTAGTGTAAGGGCCAGATAATAAATATTTTAGGCTCTGTGGGCCATAATGTCTCTGCTGCAAATAACCTGTTGCTGTTGATTCTGACCCATAGTGACCCTTTAGGACAGAGGAGAACTGCTCCATAGGGTTTCCAAGGAGCGGCTGGTGGATTCGAACTGCCAGCCTTTTGTTAGAAGCCGAGCTCTTAACAACTGCACCACCAGGGCTCCTAGGGTACTCAATTGTGCTGTTGTAGCGTGAGTAGTCAAAGACAATACTTAAACGAATGGATGTGGCTGTGTTCCAATGAGACTATTTGCAAAAACAGTGTTGGTGTGAGGTGCCGTCAAGTAGGTTCTAACTCACAGAACACTATAGAACAGAGTAGGGTCGCTATGACTGGATAGGGGGTAATTTGCCAATCTCTGGCTTATATGCATCTCCTTTCAAAAAAGTTTAGAAGTACCTTACACTATGTTGTTACTGGATGTTGTATAACGGATTCTGACTCATAGTGACCCCATGTAAGAAACTAGAACGGCCCATAGGGTTTCCCAGGCTGAAATCTTTATAGGAGCAGATCGCCGGGTCTTTTCTCCGGTGGAGCAGCAGCTGGTGGGTTTGAACCACCGACCTTTCTGTCAGCAGCTGAGTGCTTAGCCATTGTGCCACCAGGGCTCCTAACCTTACACTACAGAGCTTCTGATTTAATAATGGATACATTTATAAAAGCTGCCTTGTACAAATGAGCTAGCAAAACTGCTTGAAACAAAAGAACCCTCAGCACAGATATAAAAACGGTCTGATATATCATTAAGCCATGGTACCTGATGAAATGCATGTTCTGTCACAACTGTTTTTGTCTCTACATTCCAGATTTTCACAGTCCCGTCATCGGAGCTAGTAGCACAGAGGTTGTACTGACCCGGGTGATGAGAAAACGTGAAGCCAGAGACTCTTTCGGTGTGTCCCACCAACTCCCCTATGACTTCAAGGAAAACGAGACTCCAGGTTAATGAAAGCGCTGCCCAAGATTTCCGGCAGAATCATACTGTTGTTGGCTGATGAGTGAGCAGATGCTCTCGAGTTACTTAACCCGTGGTATAACAAAAGGACTCTCGGACTCACAATCAGAAACCCCAACTTCTGCTATTGGCTCTGCAACGTGATTTCAAACAAATCATTTTTCGCTGAGCCTGTCTTCTCAACTATAAAATCTTGATAATACATTGATGTACTTAGTTCACAGATCGAGGAGCACCTCAAATGAAGAATCTAAAATGATTTTCACGTAGACCTGGTCACTGGTCGTTTGAAATGGAATATATGGCACGTCATATCCCAAGGCACAATCAAAACCTAGTTTGGAGCCTGGGTGCATCTAGCTCAACTTGTTTTACAGAAACAAGGATCACATATTTGCAGTCTTCTTTAGGACCTGCAGTTTTAGGCAGCCCGCAGTCCCAGGAAGGCTCCCAGGGGGACCCGCGAGTTGGGGTGGGGGACGCAGATGTTATAAAAACCCAGGTCCAAAAATGCTACCTTCTTAGTAAGTAAGCGGTCCCACGTGCGAGCGCCAGGAGGCGGGACTGCCGGGCCACATCGTGGTGCAGCTCACTTTTGGAGACCGGGATGCAACTCACAAGAGTGACCGTGGGCAAACCCCTCCCCCTGTCTGGGCCTCAGTTTCCCTATCTGTAGAAAGAGGGGTGGTCGAAGACTCCTACTTGTCGACCACAGAAACCCCAATGGAAAGGGCAGGAAGGTCTGGGCCCAGATGCGGGGAGTTACCTCGAAACGGGGGCGTCCCATGGCTCGCGCCCGCACCCGGGCCCACGCGAACTAGGAAGACCGAGGTCCGCGCCGCGAAGCCGAACAGACCCCCGGGTACGGCGTCGCTGCAGCGGGCGCAGTACCAGTTGGGGGAGGGAGGCAGCGTCCGCGGTTCCTGCCCCATGACTGGAGGCCGCGGGAGCTGGGACCAGCAGCCACAAGCGCCGATCGTTCGCAGCTGCACGCCTCGGCCGGGAAAAGGGGCGGGGCCGGCCCGGAGCCCCGCCTCCTTGGGGGTCTGCCACTACGGGGCGCGCCGAGGCCCAAGCCGCACGGAGAGCTCTGCTGCCGCGGCCTCCGGGCTGGGACGGCGAGGCTGTGCTCGGTGTGCTTTGCCTCTTAACCCCTCAAGCGGCCTCAGCCAGAGCCTAGTCTTGGGTTTAGGTATTCTTACTACCCAAAGCAAAACCACATAATTAAGGGATTAATTTGGTGGAGTCATCCACCCACACTGTGAGTTCATTAATTGGACCTGTTTAACTACTATCCTGTCAAATATTTTTTTGAACGCTATGTGCCAGAGCATTTTGCTAGCTCTGGAGATGCTTTAAGGAAATCTGCAGAAGCCGAGAAGTCCCTGGGTGGTGCAAACGGTTAACACTCTGGGCCACTAACTGTAAGATTGGAGGTTAGAGTCCTCCCTGTGGTTCGTCGGTAGAAAGGCCTGAGAATCTACTTCCGAAAAATCTGCTGCTGAAAACCCTATGGAGCACAATTCTGATCTGACACACATATGGTTGCCATAAATCGGAATTGACTTGATAGCAACTGGTACATACAAGATGCCAGTTAACAAAAAAAGATAAAAGGAGAAATAATAAAAAAGAGAAGGAACAGTTTCTGCAACTGGGTGGAAATCGTGGCTCTGGGTTTTTGGTACTCAAAGATTAAAGAGAAGCAGAATGGAGTGACTCTTTTGATTCACTTGATTGCCAACCCTGAAAACAGTATGTGGTAAGTACTATGGAGGACAAAGAATGAAAATTCCCTTCCAACCTAAACATGCAAAAATGCTCAGATTTTACACTTAAACTCCTCTAGCTTGTTTGCACTGGGAATCTGCACTCATGCATCTCAGAAAACTCAAAGCTGAAATATCTATTCTGAATATGGAGAGGGCACACATATATAAAGATGTGAATGGGGCACTAACTTTGCAGTCGCCCAGCCATAGATTGACCACAGGTTTTGCCAGTTGTTAGCAGAAAGAAGTCAACCCATTGTAAATCAGTTTCTTCATCTGAGGACAGAAGATGATAATCCAAGTCATTTTGGATTGATGTGAGGAATAAATGAGATTTAGTGCAGTGCCTGCTGGGCGTATATGGTAGTTAAGTGCCCAATGAAATATTAACTCTTATCTCTTGGTGGTCAACCTGGAGATTAACAGGGATAAGGACATCATACTTCATATTTGAACGGCTTGCTCTTTAAAAGAGCTTTCACACCATCTCTAGTGATCTTTACAACAAACCTGTGTCATAGGGAGAGCTACTTCTGAGTATTTCTATTTTGCTGATGAGAAAACTGAGGTCCGCACGGGCTGGGTGATTTGTTCATGGATTCTGTTTCCCTAATCTTTTCATTTGTGATGTGAGGCTTCTCAATTTTTCTGGGATCCTGTGTATTTCCGGAAACTCACTAGGTTTTGGCCTTTATTAAGTCATTCATTCTCAAACTTGGTTAGCGTAACCACCCGTTAGGCGCTGGCCGCGTGTTCGCGGTCTCCATGACAACACCGCAGGCGTAAGTACACTAGCTCTCCGGAAACGGAGGAAACTCAGAGTATTGGGCATGCGTCTTGTCCTGCCGGCGTATGAACTCGGAGCCTTCCGTAGAGAGAGGGAGCAAGATGGCGGCCGCAGTACTGGAACAATTGGGTGAGATTTCTTAGTGGTTAAGAGGCGGAGGAAGGAGTTGAGATGGGAGTCTGAGCTTAAGGCTTGTGTTGGTGTTGCAGGTGCGTTATGGATGCAGAATCTGAGGAGCCAGGGGAAGTTGGCGTTGGGGTAAGTGTCTCGCCTCGGAATTGCAGAAGTGTCCAAGGCCTCCATTCTAGTCTGTTATTCAATTACTGAGCTCCTATGTGCGAGACTTAAGTTTTGGGGCTACAGAGTCGAAGAAGACACCTAGAATCTCTGCTTTGTCACCCCATTTTCCCGCGGCCGTATTTCTTAGCCCTACAATTACCAGAATTATCCATTACCCAAGGACCATTGCAAATGTCTTTTCTGAACAGTATCCTCTGGTCTTTCTGGACACGGTTAGATTTTCCCACCTCCATATGGAGCTGTTCAACTTTTTTAGTTACCTCTCTACTTACTTGCTTACATGAACAGGGACCGTGTTTTAGACAGCCGTAGTTTACATTGTGTCTGGCGTACGCTAAACGCTTTATGTGCATTATCGCATATTATTTTCATAACAATAATGAGTATTGTTATTCCCAATATTCAGTCAAGGAAACTGAAACCCCCAAACGAAAAATAACTTGCCCAAGGTCACCTACTTACAGGAAGTTGTGAAGCTTTAAACTATGCTCTCCAAAGCGTTCTTTGGCTCTAGGACAAAAGCATTCCTTAACATTAGGGAATGTGATTGAGTCAGGACTGGCAAGAATTCTTTCCTTTCCCCTTTTCATTATCCCTTTTCTGCAGTACTGCTTTTGTTATTTGGAGATAAAAATTGTAAGTTTTCTGATCAGTGCATTTGTTAGCATTTATTTTATAATAAATTGTTTAGTTCATAGGCTTTGGAGACAGATTGTTGTGAATACACTTTTAACTGTGATTTTGGAAAAGTTGGTTATTCTTTCTAAGCTATTTTAGTACCTGCCTCATAAAATTTTTATGAAACTTAAATGAGATAATGCATATGAAGCGTTTAGCAAAGTGCACGACATGTTATAATCCCACCTTAAATCTCAGCTGCCATCATTGTTTTTATCACTGTAACTTATTACTGAGTTCTCATTTCATTTAGTTCTGTCTTAGGTTCTTGGGTCAGGGGGATGAAGAGGTGAGCTAAAGAAGAAAATAGGAAGCACTGGCCCTTAGTATTTTTTCTGCACTTTGCTTCCTTACATTATTTTCTATTGTTCTGCCCACAGCCACACTGATTTACTTAATTTTCCGGAATATGCTATGCATTCGCTTTCTTCTTGGCTTTTTTTATGCTGTGCCCTCCCTTCTTGTCTTCAACTGCAGTTTTACTCATTATTTAAACCCCTGTTCAGATGTTTCCCATTCAGGAGGTCTTTTCAGATCTGATTAAAACTGAAAGATAATAATTTCTCCTTCCTCTTAGTGTGTGTGCCTTGTGGAATGGCCTTGTCTATATGTATCTGTGCCCTTTAGTAGCTTGTGTATCCTAGACAGCTAGGGGCAGTTCTTGCTTCTCTTTGTTGCTCCAACACAGGGTCTTGCACAAAGTGAATATTTTGTTAATGTTTGTCAATTTAAATTGCCCTGCACTGACTTTTGAGGAGCCCTGGTGGTGCAGTGGTTAAAGTGCTCGGCTGCTAACAGAAAAATTGGTGGTTTGAACCCACCAGCGGCTTTGCAGGAGAAACATGTGGCAGTCTGCTTCCGTAAAGATTACAGCCTTGAAAACCCTATGGGGCATTTCTACTATGTCCTAAAGAGTCAGAATCAACTTGGTGGCAAGGAGTTTGGTTTGCTTTGGCACTGACGTTTACTAGGAAATTCTCGCAAGTAACTTAAACAGTTTGGCTTCAATCTTTTCATCCATGTCACGTAAACAGGAGTGTCAGATCTGCTAGATAATTTCTAAGGCTCTTTCCAGTTCTGAACTTACACAATTTTATGAATCTCCATTCTGAACTTTCTAATGGGGAAGACAGGTTATGACTGTTTGAAAACTAAGTATGAAAAGTATAAATAATGCTCACAATAACCATGTGAAATCTTTTAAAATTTTTTGTATTTATTTTATTGTTGTTGAGAGTATACACAACAAAACATATACCAATTCAACAGTTTCTACAGGTGCAGTTCATTGACATTGATTATGTTCTTAGAGTTGTGCAACCATTCTCACCCTCCTTTTTTGAGTTGTTTTTCCTCCATTAACATAAACTCACTACACCTAAGGTTCCTGTCTTAGTCATTTAGTGCTGCTATAACAGAGATACCACAAGTGGATAATAGCTTTGACAAAGAGAAATTTATTCTCTCACAGTCTAATAGGTTACAAGTCCAAATTCATGGTGTCAGCTCCAGGGAAAGGCTTTCTCTGTCAGCTCTGGAGGAAGATCCTTGTCATCAGTCTTCCTTGTTCTGGGAGCATCTCAGCACAGGAACCTCAGGTTCAAAGGACGCGCACTGCTCCTGGCACTGCTTTCTTGGTGGTATGAGGTTCCCACGTGTCTCTGCTCGCTTCTCTTTTTTATATCTCAAAAGAGATTGGTTTAAGACACTATCTAATCTTGTAGACCTCATCAGTATAACTGCTGCTAGTCCATCTTATCACATCATAGCGATAGTATTTACAACACATAGGGAAATCACATCAGATGATAAAATGGTACACAATCATACAATACTGGGAATCATGACCTAGCCAAGTTGACAGATATTTTTGGGGGACACAATTCAATCCATGACAGTTCCTGTCTAATCTTTCAAGTTGCTGTTGTCAATTTGATTTCATACAGATCTTAAAAGAGCATAATGCTCAAGACAGATTTTTTTACTATTTAAGCTAAGCTATTGTTTGGTTTTAAGAAGACTTCAGGGTATATTTTTGGTTTAAGTTTTAAAGATTATCTCAGGGCAGTAGTTTCAGGGGTTCATCCAGCCTCCATGGCTTTAGAAAGTCTGGAATCCATGAGAATTTGAAATTCTGTTTTGCATTTTTCCCCTTTTGATCAGGATTCTTCTATAGGATCTTTGATTAACCATGTAAAATCTTAGAAATCATCCAATTCAGTGATTGGAAAATTGTATACAGGAGGCAGATAGGTAGTAGAAATCACTGAACTAGGAACAGTGTTCAGTGTAAAATAAAGGGAGGGGAGGGCCTGTGGCAGTTAGAGGGTATTCCTCATTTAAAGACATTAAATTGGGTTAAGAAAAAATGCTGTTGACTGAATAAAACTTTTTTGTAGGCTATATTTGGTGGGAGACTGACAGTTTTCAACCTTTGAATGCCAAGTCTTGCATTTCACTGATGGATGCATTTGAGAAGTTTTGTGACTTACTGAAGGTTACACACCATGGAATGGATGGAGTGATAGACCCTGAAGGGGTTTGTCAGAGGAGTGGTTTTAGAAGAGGTGATTTTAGAGTAAGGAGAGTACATTTAGGAGTAAGAGAGTGCATTTTGGTGGTTTAGAAGTAGAATGGCTAGTGTAAAAGTTTGAAGGTACTAATGACAAATTTATACTTAGCTTAAAATTCTCCACAAGAAAAACCAAGTTGGAAATGTCATGAATTAGCTGTTTAGTGGAAGAATGATGACTGCAGTTTGATATTTTTGAATAAATACTGGGCTGCAGAAGGACATCACACTTGGTAAAGTAGAGGGTCAGTAAAAAAGAGGAAGATCCTCAGTGAGTGGATTGACACAGTGGCTGCAGCAATGGGTTCAGGCATAACAATGATTATGAGGATGGCGCAGGACCGGGCAGCATTTCGTTTTGTTATACATAAGGTTGCTATGAGTCAGAACTGACTCAGTGGTACCTAACAACAAGTAGAAGACAGAGTTGGATTTCAACCCTGACTCTGCCATGGACACATGTTGTGGCCTTGGGCAATTTGCTTAACTTCTCTGAGGCTAAGTTTCCTCGTCTCAAAAAAATGAGAATTAAAAAAAAAAAAAAGGATGCTATCTACTTTACAGGGTGGTTGTGAGGATTAAAGAGACCTAAGAAGTAAAATGTCTACTAATAGTGCCTGGCATTGTTGAGGTGTAGTGTGGGGATGATATTGCCATGAATTCTTTCAAAGGAATCATTTTTATGCTGGAAGTAATTAGTAGCCATTCTGTACGCCTAGATGAGATTACTTATCTCATCTGTCAGCCCTACTTTTGTAGAACAGTTGGCAAGAAGATAAGAAACTGAAAGATGAGTCTACTTTTTTGTTTTTGAAGTCACTCTTAAAAGCCTTTCCCAAAGTAAAGAGTAGAAATTATCTCTGGTTTTCATTCATCTATGCTCTCAGCATTCTGATTACCACAAGATTTGACAGTCACATTGATTTTTTGTCCCCTTAATTTAGCCTTACCCTGTGACCTGAGGCATTGTGATTCATTGCCTTTTAGAACAGTAGTTCTTAAATTTGAGTTTTAGACTCTTGAGAATATGAGGAAAAACCACAACACATCGTCCCAGAAAAATGCATAGTACATTCACAGATTTGCTTGTAATTTCATAATCCACGGTCTAGGAATCTCTGCACTGAGACATCACAGCTAAACATAAGCATCTGTTTGTGATACATGAGGGACTGTGATGCTTGCCATACAGTGAGTACACAATGATTAACAGTGTCAAATACCTTGAAGTGTGTGTTGGGCAGTGGCCCTTGCATTAACGGGTGAAATGATATTTCCCTCAATTTATTTAGCAAGTTTTCAATCCCACATGAAAGTTGAAAGAATATTACAATGAACCCCTTATTTCTTTCAGATGGATTCACCAGTTGTTAACATTTTGATGTACTGGCTTTATCTCTCTCTATGAATGTACATGCTCCTTCTGCCAACCATTTGGAAATGAGTTGTAGACATTATGGTGTTTTACTCCTAAATACGTCAGAGTGTATTTCCTAAAAACGAGGACAAACCCGTTGCCATCGGTCGAGTCAATTCCGACTCATAGCGACCCTAGAGGATAGAGTAGAACTGCCCCATGGTGTATTCGAACCGCTGACTTTTTGGTTAGCAGCCGTAGCTCTTAACCACTATACCACCAGGGTTTCCAAAAATGAATATAGTTTCCAAAAACCACAAGCTGTGATCAAAATGGGTGGAATAATTTGAT